CTGGCCTTGGAGTAATGTGTTATCTAATCTATATTCATATCATATGCATTCCGCATATGTATCATGAGAATCTATCAATATTTATACCGTACATATGAACTGCACAAAAATACACCTATCTGATCTTCATAGGTGAGACAATTGTAGAAAGCAGAAAGCATCTGAGATGAGCGATGGGGCATTGAGTGATACGATGGTGTGGGCCGTATACGATTAAGTACAGCTACGGCAATCCTGAAGAAAGACGTCTCAAACTACAAACTATAAACAACAATGAAGTATCTAGCTAACACTAATAGGAAGTGGGCGACCATTCCTTGTGAGTTCCAAGTTTCTTAGATCAAGAGCTGAAGCAGCTGGTCCTCAAAGACAACCGCGATTTTCGGGTCTTGGGGACTTGCTCTGTAACCAGTAGATGACAACGGGATTTCCACAATACCATTAAAACCGCCTCGACTCAAGACCCGCTTCGATGTTACGAGGTCGGTGTGACACGACTGGATGCACGCTAAAACTTTAATGCTAGGCAGGCACAATTCCCATTTATCTTTTGGTCAAGCTGTATTTCTAACGACGATATGACGTAAAACCTAAACCGATAACTGTTCCAACGAGAAGACGTGTTTCGACTTACGCCGCGATTTTCGGTACCCAACTAAGTCATAATTCCGAGGAATGCCTCTACAGTGCCCCTCCCCCACCCAATTCGTGTCATCGCGTATATGCTTTTATATAAAGATCATGATTGAACTTCCATATGAATAACGCGTTTTACCAGTTGATAATTTCCCCACTGACAGGGCCCCTTATCACTTCACTTCCATTACTATGCTTTGACTATAACGCAACATTACAGCCCATATCGGAAAATCAGTTTGATTCTGTCACGTACTTAATAATTAATACATTTTACATAATACTTTTTTGATGCCTGCATGAGACGGTAGTCTCAGTGAACAAAGCAGTTATTTTAGTAGCAAAGCTTCGACCGTAAGAAAACGGCCTTTTCAGGAGTGGATATTCATCAAGAAACAAAATCAATGCATTAGAACCTGCGTATAATTTCTGACCTGCGTAGTTGTTGTTCCAGCGGTTCAGGGCGAAGCCCAAACTTGCCGTAATACTGATCACGGTTGGATTTGGTAATTGGGCGTTTGTGTTCGCTGACAAGTGCACAACAGGGCTGTTGCTGATGAATTTCATGATCATGCACAGGTCTTCGGAAATTGGCTGGAACATGAGCGGGCTCTAGAACACAAAAAATCGTAGATTTACTAGATCGTAATAAAAATGCTTTTAAAATTGAACCATGTAATTTCCTACCGGATACTATGACAATATTTCGCATACATTTTCTGTTATAACTCTGCCGTTGCCGATCTAAAGCCAGGATGAGAAAGGAGGAAGGTGGAGACCGTGGCGAAGTCTTAGTGAAACTTAGCCACCTGCCCTTCATGGTATTGACGTCATCGAAAATAATACCGGCTCGGTCGTCGTTAGGGTCACCGAGGACAGCGCAAACCGTTGGGACACTGAGACAAGCTGCAAAAAGTCGGCGTCTAAAACTTGCCAATCGCTATCTGGCAGCCGGGAGTGCAGCAGCATGACAAGACGACCAGAAGATATCAGTCAGCAACAGAGCCGCTACCAGTTCTGAACGAATAAAGCAAATAGCGCGATACCACTATAACACGTTAGATAAGGCTCCAAGGCAACTATACTGACAGCGGGAAATTACACACTCAAACTGGAACAAATCCACACCTTATGGGAAAGAGAAAGAACTAGTTTCAGGCCGCAAAAGTTTCGGCTGAACAGAGTTGGATTCTCTTCAACCAAGCACCACGACTATGGAATCTACAACCTGTGCGGGTGCAACCTATTCTACTCAGATGTCGATATCACGACGCGCGCTCATGTAGGTGTTGATGGTCTGGCAGAACCTAACCTCCCAGATAGATTGATTGATTGGAAGCCTGTAAGCAGAAGAGTGACAATCATCCAACTGAAACTACAACAGACTAAAGCGTTGACATTGGTACAGGTCTGTACGCCAAATTTGTCTGATACTTTCCTTGAGGAAGTGCAGTGTACTTTGTAAGAAATGCCGACAACGGAGTCCCTCATACTCATGGGCGATTTTATTCCGCATGTCGGAGTACACTATGAAAAGTGTAAAGGCCTGATTAAAAAGAACCTCTAGTGGCCTCAGGCAATAATGAAATGAAATTTTTGCAGTTTCATAAACGACAAACTACCACTTATAAACACATTCTTCGAGCATCAAAACATGCATCAGTATACCTGAGACAGGCATGCTTGCACACAAAAGTTTATGATCGATTTGATAATCGCATCTTTTGATTTACGACGCTCAGTAATGGAAGTTAACAGAGGCGCAGAGCTATCAATCGGACATCATCTTGTTGTTGGCACGCTGTCCTGTATGAAATGGAGTACCATACGAAGATCTGGTGGCAGAAGCAATCGCAGAATCAAATGGGAAACATTATTTTCGGTAGACACGAAAGCGCAGTTTGCAAACAATATCGCACGACGGTTTGAACAGATCTCGGTGATGACCACTGATGTGGAAACCGAGTGGCAGCTGTTTAAGAGAGGCGTACTCGAGGCTGCCGCCGAATGCTGCGGATATAAACGGGTTGCTGTGGACACGAAAGGTATAACTGGCAGTTAAAGAGAAGAAAGCAGCGTTCAAGAAATGGCTTGGAAACAAGGAGTCATCTACACGTGCGCGATATGTCGAGGCACGCAAGGCGGCAGCCATAGCAGTGGCAAAAGCCAAGGCTGATTCCTGGAAGAAG